TTCCATGCTTGGTGAAGATAAAGGTACAAAATGCACCTATTTGCAAACACTTTCTGGCAAAAAAAGGTTTTTCGTGGTCATTGCTAATACACGGTAACCGGCAACCGGGCTCGTAGTCTCAGTGTCACGTACACAGTAACCGGGCATGTACTTTACCGGACCACCGATTGCTGCCGGTCGGGACTACTTTCGCTATGGCGCCCCTTGTTGTGCCTGTTGCCTGGTGGTCCGGTATTCTTCTTTCCGGGCCTCCCCTACTCACTCTCCTGCTCACTTTCCTACGTTTTCACCCTCCAACTGCCGACTGACGTCTGTTACGAAGTTTTTCAGCCATCACGACCGTGCCCTTTGACCCACGACGCTAATTGGTCAATCTAAGGCCACCTCTAGGGTAGGTTTGGGCAGGGTTGGGTTGATTTAAATCAGTTGATTTTTTAAATTTAAATCAACTTGATTTTTAAAATAAAAATCAGTGATTTAAATCACTTTGTAAAAAAATGATTTTATTCAGTTTTTACATATTTCAACATTCAGAATTCCTTTCCTTGGTTTCATAAAACAGATATAAGGTTTAGTAGACTGATATAATCATGCTTAAAAGTCTGCTTCCCCCCCTTTCACTGTAAAATAATACAGTATTCAATTTACTTTTTTTTTCCATAATTGAAATCAGAGCTGGGTTGATTTTTAAAATCAGTTGATTTTTAAAATAAAAATCAGTGATTTGAATCACTTTTTAAAAAATGTATTCTGTTTTTACATATTTAAACATTCAGAATTCCTTTCCTTGGTTTTATTAAACAGATATAAGGTTTAGTAGACTAATATAATCATGCTTAAAAGTCTGCTTTCCCCCCTGTCACTGTAAGTAGTAATATAATACAGTATTCAATTTACTTTTTTTTCATAATTGAAATTAGCATTTTCTTTTTCTTTTTAGACAAACACAAGCGCGCACACACACTGTAATAAAATGCAAGTTTATCTATGCATAATTACCCCTCCTCCCTTCCTTTTAGACTGACTTTTTCTTAATTTTTTGTCTGTAGCCATAATTCACTGATATAGCAGATTAAGGCTTTCTTTTGCAGTTACTTAAATTAATCATTAGTTAAAATAAGGACAATGCATTCTGCACTAAAAGAACATACTTTTTTGGGGATTTTTGGGTTGGTGCAACCAGGGTTGGTGATTTTTTTGATTTTTTAAATAAAAATTTTAAAAATCGATTTTTTTTATTTAAATCAAGATT